TGTGAAGCCACCCAGCAAGAAGGCAGTCACCTAAAAGTCAGAAAGAAAGCCTCATCAGGAATGAGCCCTGATAATACCTTGATCTTGGACTTCCAGCTTCCAGACCAGGAGAAAATAAATTTTTGTTGTGTAAGTCACCCAGTCTATGGTACATGGCAACCTGAGCAGACCAACACAGTAACATAATGTCAGGAAACAAATAAGGACTATGAAAAAATTAGGTGAGGTGGAGAGAGAGACTCACGGAATAGACAGCCACACTGAATAGGGGACTAGGAAAGGCCCCTGGGGATATCATTCCAGGTGAAGGATTTTTGCAGGAAGTCCCGGACATGGGATAAAATTGACGCATGTGAGAAATGGCCCAAAAGCCTATTCAGCCTGAGCATGTTGGGCAGGGTGTGAAAGAAAGGAAATGGACACAGAGAGGAAACCAGAGACCGGATGATTAGGGCAACACAGGCCATGGCAAGCACTTCAAAGTTTGTACTAAGTGGGGTCGACTGGAAAGCCACCAGAAGGCTATAAACAGGAGAGTGACATTTATGTCTTTAAGAGGATCACTATGACATAGGCAAGAGACCATAGCACACACACAAAAAAAGAAAGGCTGGTACATTGTTGTGAGGCCAGTTTAAAAGCCCAGGTGAGAGAGTTGGGAGACATGGGCCAGAAGGCGTGGGGATGGAAGAAAGGAGAAATAGCTGGATTCAGAGTATATTTGTGAGGTGATTCAACATTTGTCAAACAGATCGAATGCAGTATGCAGGAGAAAGAAAGGAGTCAAGGACACCAAATTGAGCTGTGCTGCTGTGTACCTGTGTGTCCTTTACTGAAGTGACAAAATAGAGGAAGGAGAAAGTTTGGTGGGGAGTCGTGTTGAACCAAAAGTTCAGTTTCATGTCTGTTAAAATTTGAGAGGCCTATTAGAGATCCAAGCAGAGATGTTAAATAGGCAATTGGACAGACCAGCATGGAGTCGAGGGAGAGATCAGACTTGAGATATACATTCACTGATGCTGGTATTGAAAGCCCAGAGACTCAGTATCAACATAATTACTGCCAGCACCTGCTTCTCAATGTACAGATTCATCTTTGGGGCTGGGGGCAGAAAGGAGGAGATATTCTCCTCTCAGTTCCTTCTTTTCTTTCTCCATCACCTCAAAATGAATTCATCAAACTTTAAGTGGCCAGTGTCTTCGCCATTCTGGGAGGTGACATGGGCTCTCTTGCCCCTCACAGCTTAGAGCACATTCTCAACATGGGGCTGATGCACGCTGAGCACATTCTCCAGTCAACCGCAGAAGCAGAGTCCTCCGGGTGGTCTAGGCCTGGCCTCTCTACAGCCTCCCTCCCTGACAGAAGAGCCTCTCTTCCTCACCACTCCACAGGGCTTGGTGTCTAACTAACCCTTGTTTTCCTTCCTCCACTTCAGTAGGAGAGCACGGAGCAGATCTCTTTTAAGAGGCTCACAGGCATCTTTTCCTTAATGGAAAAGAAAAACAACTGCTTTAGGTGAATAAGGAGAAAAACTGAGTGTCTCTGGGAGAGTCAAAGATCCCTCTGCAGTCTCCAGGTACACATGGCCCCTGAACTGAGAACAGAGAGCAGCCTGGGAAGAGGAGACTCCAGATTATGGAGAATAATTTTTAAAAGAGCAGGGTATTCAGCCTGGTGTGGTGGTGCATGCCTGTAATAACGGAGACTCAGGAAGCTGAGGCAGGAGGATCATTAAGTCTGAGGCCAGCCTCAGCAGCATAGTGAGGCCCTGTATTGAAATAAAAAATTAAAAGGACTGGGGATGTAGCTCAGTAGTAAAGTGCCCCTGGGTTCAATCCCCAATAACAACAAACAAAACAAAACAAAACAAAACATGCCAACTGCCATGCTCTCATGGTTTTTAAATGTTAGAACAGGAAAGTCATCTATTGAAACGTGGTGTTCAAAATGTTAGAATTTTCAATATTTTTATTTTCCAAACTTTATTTTAAAAGTACATTAAAAGCATCAGAAATACAAATCTGGCCTAATGGTTAACATAAGAACAGTTATTATAAAATGTTTTAAAGACCTCACATACTTTGCATCACAGTAAAGCATCAAGAGAACTAGTTAATATACCCTGCAAGTTAATCATATTCAATTGAATTCTCATTACTCTTAGTTCTCATTTTAGCCCTTATAAAGAGACAAGTTATATATGTCTATCTATACCTTATTACTACTATATAGGTATAGACAGACATACATAACTTATGTAGAGACAAGTTCTGTCCAAATATCTATATCTACTTACAGATATAGATGTGAAGGGGAGCTAAGAATCTAGCTCACTATGTATTTCATGCAAGTTAAATCAATAATTTCTTGAAGAGCATAAAGAACTGAATACCTTATATGCACATGCTTAGTTTTCTTTATGCTATAATTTTTACTTCCCAAAGAAGGGCCCCATGCTGGTCAAAACATCTCAAACTCAAAGGTCACACGGGAAATCTGACATTTAAAATTTTATACATAGAAATTGCTTTTGTTATAACCTTTTATGAAATCACATTTGAAATGCCTGTCCAAAAACATATACCTTAAAAAAGTGGGAAGTATCTTCTTGACTTATGTTATGAATTATAAAAGGTGTTTGGTTGATTGGACCACTAGCTTCTGACTTAAGACAAAGCTCTGATTCTTAATTTGACACAGTCCTTCAAATCATCTTGGAAGAGGATGTTAGATTTCTTAATTCTTTGTTAAAAAGGGGTATATATTAACCTATCTCATGGGAGTATTAATAAATACGTGCAGTGTTGTATTAAAATATAAAAGCACAATTGAAATAGGTAATAGTGACTTCCAAAAATAGCATTCAATTACCCGCCCCTCCCCCAAAATGGTGAGAGAGTGAATATGTTATCTTCTGTTATAAAATTCGATAGCAAAACCAAAGGAAGAAAGGAAGAGAAAGGAGGGAGGAAGAGAGAAAAGGAGTAGGTAGGGTAGTCAGTCCTGAAAGGTGAATTTAAAAACCAAATAAATCCTATAGTTCGTACTTACATCTCAGAAATAGAAATGACCGGGTAAATACTGGAGGGTGTGAGGCACTAGATGAGGTGAAAGTGAACGCTAGTTGAAAATCTACTCTCTGTCCCAGGCCTCCCAGGACCTCTACTTAGGAACAGGCTCAGGGAGGGGCGCTATAAATTGAGTGTCTTTCATTCAAAAGAACAAAGTACTTCCCAATGTGCAACAGTAATTCTTGAATACAACAGTTCATAAAGATAGGTTTTGGAGTGTGATGCTTGAGTCTAATAGTTGAGTTCCAAAATTCCAGTGAGATCAAGTACTGACTGTATAATGAAAAAATTTTACATAGAAATGTGAGTTCACATTGTTATCCTAAGAATCACAGAGTATAGAATAAAATTGGTTTCAGGTACAGAGATACTTAATCTAGTTTCCAGGTTAAGGTTCTGGGAGTCATGGGGCGTACTCCTGTAATCCCAGCTACTGGGAGGCCAAGGCAGGGGAACCACAAGTTTGAGGCCAGCTTGGGCAATTTAGTGAGAGACCCTGGCTCAAAAAAAAAAAAAAAAAGAGTGGGGTATTGGGGATGTTGCTTAGTGGCTGCTAGTGTGTACAAGGCCATGGGTTCAATCCCCATTATGGCAAAAAAAAAAAAAAAAGATTAGTGAGAGGAAAAATAAAACAATTAGTTTAAAAATATATCACCTTGATAATTTTTTTTTTAACCACAATGATACAAAAATAAAGAAAAAGGAGTTATTTCTAAGTAGTTACTTGAATACTGACAGGTACTTAATAAATTTTCTTACACTGTAGGAAAACCTCCCAATCCCATCTCTATGCCAAGATAGCCTAATGAATGACACAATAGTTCACACTGCCTCCCACATAACAACCCTCTCCAAGAACAATGCCTCTACTATAGGGGCAGTCCCCATGCACTAGGATTCTTGGATAAGATCATTCCAAAATATAGTAATTCACTTGTAACAAGCTAAAATATCTTTCTTTTGAAAAGAACTATACAGCCAGAGGCAGTGGTGCATACCTATAATCCCAGCAACTAGGGAGGCTGAGACAGGAGGATAACAAGTTTGAGGCCAGCTTCAGCAACTTAGTGAGACCCTCAAAAAATTAGTGAAACACGGTCTCAATAAAAATAAAATGAAAAGAGCTGAGGATGTAGCTCAATGGTAAAGTACCCTGGGTTAAATTTCCAGTACCAAAAAATAAAAAATTTAAAGAACTATACAGCTACCCCAATTGACACAGAATAATAATGTCTCTAATAAGAAATGGCAATAATCATACACTAAATTCTTAGTTGAGTGTCTTATAAAAGGAAAGTACTTAATGCTCGTGTGTGAATTTTTGAGAAGGACAAAAATATAGGTAACATATTTGTGATTTTTTTTTGTTTTAACAATGTTATTTTTATTCAAATAAACCTGCTTACCAAAAAGTGTATTAATCCCTATTTCAGGACTTCAAAGAATCAAATTTTACATTCTTAAAAGAATAACACCTTCAGGAGGCTGAGGCAGAAGGATCACAAGTTGGAGGCCAACAACTTAGCAACTTAGCAAGACCCTGTCTGAAAATAAAATTTAAAAAGGGTTAAGGATGTAGCTCAGAGATAGAGTACTTCTGAGTCCAGTCCCCCATACCAAGAAAACAAAAACCAAACCAAACAAAAAAATCAACTCATACCTTTAAGTTCGTCTATTTTTTTTTTAATCCATATCTAGAGCTGAGAGTGCAGCTCAGTGCTACAGTTCATGCTTAGCATGTGCAAGGGCCTGGGTTCAATCCCCAGCACCAAAATAAAATTAAAAAAAAAAAAAAATCCAGCAATATCTTTGCAGACCCATAATACTGACTCAGAGAATTACAACCAGTCAGTCGATTTCCTACTTGAACATATCACCATTCCTGGCCTCTATTTAAATGTTCAGCACAAAAGACTGGGTAACAGGTCTGGGTTAAAAAGCTAAATAAACTTTTACATCATATCTTAAAATGTCAAGAAATTACAAATCAAATCAAGACATTAATATTGCAGACAAAAGAAAAGTCCCAACTGCCAACTTTTCGGCTGAATCTTTAAGTTTTGATCTGCGGCGGCTCTCAAAAATCAAACAGTGTGAGAAGGCAAAAAAAAAACATTTGCACAAGATTCTCTGGCCTCCCTGACTTTAAACGGAGGGGACTGGAATCTGCTTGGCTGAAGTGCTGTCGTACTCCTGCATTATTAGGTCGTTGGTGGTGTGATAATGCATGGCAATATAGGAGCTTGCAAATCCAAAAGAGTTTATTGGCTGCAAGTGGCGTGGGCTGCTCTCCTCCTGGGAAGGGCTGCTGTTATAGATGCTGTAGTAGGGTTCAATCCGAGTGTTGATGGGGGTGGAGCTGCTCTGACCACAGTGCTGATGTCCAGCAGAGATCTTGGGACTTACCACACTTTCCTTTGAATGGCTTGGGCCACAAGCCTGATCCACAAATTTCTTCTGTGGCTTTGGAGACAACATGTAGGCCGAGTTTGTTTCATGATGGGAGGATTTGTTTCTGTTGACTTCGAGGTTCCCTTTTCCCATGGCTCGAAGTCGAGTCTTCTGTTTGCAGCAGAAAACCCCCAGGCCAATGTACTGGAGGCACCAGAGCACTTTCCTTCTCAGGCCTGCACTGTTCCGAGAATATATGAAAGGGTTTAATCCTGACTTGAAAAATATTAGGGTGAACCCAAACAGTTCAAACTGGTAAAGGATGAAGCTGCCACTGTTGGACAGGACCACCTGCACCAAGGAAATCCCCAGCGGAAGACAGCACACCAGGACCGACAGCACAATGATCACGCAGGTGACCACGGCTTTGGAATCCTTGGCAGTGGAGAGGTTGATGGCTGATACCAGCTGGAGTCGGCTGGCTGCAGGGGTTGGCAGCTGGTTGGGACTCTTGGTGTACCCGTGCTGCAGTTTGTTGTAATTCTGGTTCCTGTAGAGGGCCGGCACGGTGCACTGGATGGGATCTCCGCCTCCCTTGCCAGGAGCCCCCATGAAAGGCTGTGGTCTGGAAGCATCGACTGTGATGACAGGGAGGCACTTTCTGACCTGCGCATTCTTCCTCAGGGTCTGTGCAATCATGATGTAGGAGACAGACACCACGGCGATGCAGAAGGTGAAATCGACCACATAGAGAGACAGAATGGCTCTCCCTTCTCCAGCCACCAGACTGGACATGGGAAGGCAGAGGTGGGATTTATTGGTCTTCAGGGTCGCCAAGGTGGCGAGGGTGAAACTGGTGGCCCAGAGAAGCAGAGTGAGGAGCAAGGTGCAAGGAAAGGAGGCTGTGCGATCAGGCTGCTTCCCCAGCACCATGCGGAGGCGGTGCAGGGCAATCACTGCCACCGTCTTGAGGGACATGATGATGAAGCCGGAACTGGTGAGATGGAAGGCGAAGCAGAAAGCATCCGGGATGCCACTGGCTGAGCTGAAGAACAACACAAAGGCGAACATGGGCGCTGTCACCCCGCAGATGAAGAGGTCACAGAAGGACAGGTTCAGGATCATGAAATCAAAATTGGTTCTGAATTTTCTGAAGGCTGGGTCAAAGAAGGACAAGAAGACAATGAAGTTGCCGTAAGAGCCCAGGCAGAAGATGATGGCAAGCAGAAAAGTGCAGGTCACCAAGGTGGCCATGTGGATGAGGTCCTGAAGATCCTCCTGGAGAGAGGTGTCATTGCCTCCCTGTGGGTGAGGCACGTGGAGCAAGGTGGCATTGGGGGCATCCTGAATGGGGTCTGTTGAGTTCATCTTCAGAGAGAAATGTCTCTTCCTTCTGTTCTCCAAAAAAGCTCAGTGGGAAGAGAGTCAGAGCCTCAACTCACAGATGAGCGACGTGTGACAAAAGAGGCCCAAGACAGATAAGCCTGTACACAAAAATGCACACCCAGACACAGAAAGGGGTTACTACACGATCTCATTATTGTTTATGAAAGCATTACAATTTCTCAGCCCCGGCCTCATACATGGAAAGCAGCTTCTCTTCACAAAGTCCAACACAGAAAGAGAGATGAACCCTCCCAATATATCCATCCAAGTAATTTAGTCTTACGACACAGTGGTTTCCAAACAGGGTTAACTTAGTATCACCTGGGGAGCATGTTAAAAAGTTTAATGAGTGGTAGCACACGCCTGTAATCCCAACAACCCAGGAAGCTGAGGCAAGAGAATTGCAAGTTTGAGGCTAGCCTCAGCAATTTAAATAAAAAATAAAAAGACTGGGGATGTAGCTCAGTGGTAAAGAGTGGTAAAGTGCTTTTGGGTTCAACCCACAATACCAAGAAAAAAAAAAAGTTTTTCATTACAGGGCAGATTCCGGGCTTCACCCCTTGATATTCTGTGCAGATGATACTTTTGGAAACATTTCCATGCCAGGCACTGAAAATACACATGAACATAACCTCTCCTTCAGAAATCATGGCATAGCTGTAGAAGATCAATCTAACAATATAACTGCAGCCTACTGTGGTTGCAGTGTGCTATGGAAGGAGAAAAGAGGCAACTAATCCAACCCAGGGAGAAGCTGGGAAGGAGAAGGGGAGTTTTAGCAAGTAGAAGCTAACTGGGTGAAAGGTGAGGGGCAGGCAGTGGGACCCAGGCTCCGGAGAAGGGAAGGAGGTCTTTGCAGCAGAGGGACTGGGGCAAAAAACAGCATATGCTTTAAATAAGATCAGGGTTGGTGCATGATGTGGCCTTACATTTAGGTTCCCGTACATCACTAACAAATCCCCTTTCTTTTCCTAGGAACAATCCTTTATTTTCCAGTATTTCTTTCTTTTCCCATATTGAGTTTTTTGGGCCAACTCCCTACATTTCTGAGGGGAAAAAAATCAAAGTAACAAAGAATATCTGGAATAACAGTGGCATAAAAATAAAAATATATAGTGGAATAAAAAATATAAGTGGAATAAAATTTTTTTAAGAAGTGGAATAAAAGTTGTTCAAAGAACCACTTAGGGGGCTGGGGATGTGGCTCAAGCTGTAGCGCGCTCGCCTGGCATGCGTGCGGCCCGGGTTCGATCCTCAGCACCACATACAAAGATGTTGTGTCTGCCGAAAACTAAAAAATAAATATTAAAAAAATTTCTCTCTCTCTCTCTCTCTCAAAAAAAAAAAAAAAAAAAGAACCACTTAGGGGGATGGGATGTGGTTTTATGCTTGCCAAGTATGCAAAAGGTCCTGGGTTTGATCCATAGCTTCTCAAAGACAGAGAGAGAGAGAGAACACACACTACTTTGTAAACTCTAAGTAATGTGATAAATGTGAGTTGCCATTATTTCAACAGGAATATCCTCCTGACAAAGCAGGAGCACACACTCACTCAATGCACACTAATTATATGCACACCACAGGCCTGCTTTATGCTACATGCTGAAGATAAGACACAGCCTCTTGCTCTCTTTGCCCCCTTTTTATTTCTACTGTACAATGAAATCTAATGTACACTCACATAATCGTTTGCATTGTCCCAAAGACCTGTGGTGACCTGGTGTTCATCCTGCTCCCAAAGATACTCCCAGCAGAACAGACCAAGTTGTTCAGTGCGTTATTCTTGCCAACCAACAAGCATTTGCTTCAGTTCAACATTGTTGGAACCACCAATGGCAGTGGGGAGGCCCACAGCTGATGTTCAGAATATTTAACCACCAGCTCAAGCTACACCCCAGAGGCCTCTAGTTGTCAACCCTTTAGTCGCTGGATCAAGGTGGAGCAGAAGAATGGGCTATGTCCGTGTGGGGTTACCGGGGCTCCAAGCAGCAGCTGTGGACTACCCAAAACAGAAGCCTCTCATCATGTAACAGTACCAGACAAACATCAGCTCTGGAAGTTCCATATGACTAACTGGTGTCTTTCAAGAGAGAGGACAGCTTCTTCTACATTCCCACTACACGCCTTGTAGTGCATGCAGATCATGACAAAATGGTGAATTTCTCCACTGGAAAGTGAAAACAACTTTTCTGCAACTTTTTAAAAGTTCTATAGGAGCCAGGTGTGTTGGTGCACACCTGTAATCCCAGGGATTTAGGAGGCTGAGACAGGAGGATCACAGGTTCAAAGCTATCCTCAGCAACTTAGTGAGACTCTGTCTCAAAGTAAAAAATAATAATAATAAAATAAAAAGGGGTGAAGATGTGACTCAATGGTTAAACATCCATGGGTTCAATTTCTAGTATGAAAAAATATTCTATGGGACAAAAAAATGTAAATCCTGAACCTTTGTTTCTTTTTTTTTTTTAATTTTTTTTAGTTGGACACAATATTATCTTTATTTTATTGATTTTTTTTTTAATATTGATTTTTTAGTTGTAGTCAGACACAATACCTTTATTGTATTTATTTTTATGTGGTGCTGAGGACTGAACCCAGGGCCTCACACTTGCTAGGTAAGCGCTCTACCACTGAGTCACAACCCCAGCCCTTATTGATTTATTTTTATGTGGTACTGAGGATCAAACCCAGGGCCTTGCACGTGCCAGGCCAGCTCTCTACTGCTGAGCCACAACCCCAGCCCTATTTCTTGATAATTAGAATTAAATAATAATGGATAGCTCTTATTGTTTCCAGTTAAAGATTGCATTCCTGTTTCTGAGCCCTTCTAATATTTTTGTAGCAAAAAAAAAAAAAAGACGTTTTGCTGCTTATAAAAAATTATTGCCAGGAGTGGTGGTGCATGCTTATAATCCCAGTTCAGAGCTAGACTCAGCAATTTAGTGAGGCTCTAAGCAACTTAGTGAGATGCTGTCTCAAAATAAAAAATAAATAAAAAGGGCTGGGGATATAGCTCAGTTAAGTGTCACAGGGTTAAACTGCCAGTATCATCTCAAAATTTTTAATTGATATGCATATAAAAGTATGACACAATGAAACCTATTATTCTAGCCAATAATCCCAGTGACTCCAGAGGCAGAAGGATTACAAATTCAGGGCCAGCCTCAGCAACTTAGTGACACCATATCTCAAAATTCACAGAAAAGAACTGGGGATGTCATCCGATGATAAAACATCCCTGGGTTCAATCTCCAGTACAAAACAACAACAACAACAACAAAACACAAAACACAAAAAAAGAAACAAAACCAAAAAACTCATTATTCGCTAGGCGCGGTGGTGCCCTCTTGTAATCCCAGCAGCTCAGGAGGCTAAGGCAGGAGAACTGTTAAGTTCAAAGCCAGCCTCTGCAACAGTGAAGCTCTAAGCAACTCAGTGAGACCCTGTGTCTAAATAAAATACAAAATAGGGTTGGGGAAGTGACTCAGTGGTCGAGTACTCCTGAGTTCAAGTCCCAATACCCAAAAAAAAAAAAAAAAAAAAGAAAAAGAAAGAAAGAAAAAAAAGAAACCCATTATTTTATATAATTGATATGCACTAATAAAACATTTTACAAGTTTTTCAAACCTTTTAAAAAATTGAATTGGAAGATTAGTGTTAATTTATGAAAAAGCAAGTGGAAGATGCCCATTTAAAGAGGCAGGAAGAACAGAATACTAGTGTCTTATTGCCACCCCTCTGCCCCCAACCAAAGGTTTCCTCTTTGGAAGTAGACAAATCAAGAGGAATGAAAACAGAAGCAAGAATTTGGGGGCTGGGGATGTGGCTCAAGCGGTAGCGCGCTCGCCTGGCATGCGTGCGACCCAGGTTCGATCCTCAGCACCACATACCAACAAAGATGTTGTGTCCGCCGAGAACTAAAAAAATAAATATTAAAAAAAAAAATTGACAGAAGAAAATATTAAAAAAAAAAAAAAGAATTTGGCCTGGGAAACTTAGAGCATCTGGAATTGGTGTGCTCAGAGAAATAAGTGGGTAATAATAATGAAGAAGTGAAATGATGGAAGTTATGAGGACCCCAGATGAGGAGATAATAGGAAAGGGGTCAGGAAAATGAGATGATGAGGCACCAACATTACTCAAGGATAAAAGAGGAAAAAAGATTATTTGTAGGAATTGAAGAGCAAATTTCACTTTGTGCAGTTATGTTTTGTCAATAAATTTTAAAATTTTCGATTAATTTTAAAAAATAAAAAATTCTGTGTCAGGAAATAATAATGGCAATGTACTCATCAGTATTGTTATTAGCATTTTTATTTTACGGAGTGCTTATGATGTGCCAGGCACTGTTTTCAGTGCTCTCCACTACGAATTTTAAATTCTCACAATCCTGAAATTGTATAACATCAGCATTTTGCAGATGAGAAAACTGATGGAGAGATGATATCATTTAACAATGTAACAGAGTTTGGATTTGAACCTAAGCAATTGCTTTTAACCCAGAGCCTTGTGCATGTTAGGCAAGCACTCTACCAACTGAGCTATATCCCCAGCCCAGCAATTGCTTTTCTTTATTTTTTGGGTACTAGGGACCGAACTCAGGGGCACTTGACCACTGAGCCATATCCCCCGTCCTATTTTGTATTTTATTTAGAGACAGGGTCTCACTGAGTTGCTTAGCACCTCATTTTTGCTGAAGCTGGCTTAAGCAATTGCTTTTCAAAGCCTGTTTTTTGTTTTTGTTTTTTTGTGGTGCTGGGGATTGAACCAGGGCCTTGTACATGTGAGGCAAGTTCTCTACCAACTGAACTATATCTCCAGCCCCCCCCCCCCTTTTTTTTTTTTTTTTGTATCAAGATTGAACCTAGCTAGAAGTGCTTAATTACTGCGTTACATCCCCAGTCCTTTTTTCATTTCAAGACAGGGTCTCACTAAGTTGCAGAGACTGACCTTGAACTTGGGATTCTCCTGCCTCAGCCTCCTGAGCGCTGGGATTACACATTTGTGCTACGAGCCCCACATTCTTTACCACCATACTAAACAAAAGAATAAAGAGATCAAGGGAGGAATCCCCATGTCATAAGGGTAGTAGCTATAGTTTACTGGGTGGTTATTATACACTAGGCTCCATGGTAGAAGTTTTATAAAAGTTATGAAACTTTATTTCATCCTCACAATAATCCTATGAAGTAGGTATTATAATCCCTTCTTAATTGAAAAATTCCTGGAACACAAAATTCTAATACATCTATAAATATACACATCTATCTTTATATTTAGCTACATATCTGCATATACACATTTATATATAGTTATATTAGATATATAGAAACTTCTGTATAGCTTTTTGACAAGCCTAATGAATACAGTTCCAATATAATTACTTATATTATTAATTAATAATAAGTAATTACAGATCACTCTTACTGGGATAACTAGAACAAAAGAAGGAATCAAGGGCTTGGAGGAGAAAAGAGTGAAAAAGAAGACAGAAGAAAAGGTTTTGGTAGAGGAATTGTAGAAGCAATAAAGGAAATGGAGGGAAAGTCTTGGTACTAAATCCTAGAACTTTTAAAAGGAGACCAAAATCACAAAATGAGAACAAAATTATGATGGCAGAAATACAAAACTGGGGAGGGTAGCAAATCAATATCTGTTTAATATCCTAAATGTTACCAAGGTTATTTTCAATGCCAGCATCCAAGCTACTCTTTTCTCCCTGGGACTATAAACAGGTCCTGGAAGATGTGATTAAAGCCATAGAATCCGAAAATTTTTAAGCTGGGACACAGTTTTAAGTGTGCACACTAGCCACAATAAGAATGAATTTACATGCATTTTTTAACTACTGAGGAGAGTCCATAAGAAACTAGTAGTAAGACAGAAAATTGAAATGTATCGCAGCAAGGTTATTATTTCTCATTAAAATGTATGAAGAGCCCTTGCTAGTGTGCTGTTTTAATTTTTTAGTAAACATTAAGGTGTTTTATACGTGCCTTTACAAATCATGATCTGGATTCTTCCAACTAAGTTTTTTTTTTTTTTTCCTCTCATAATGTCTTAAGTTCCCTCAGGGCAGCGCCTAACCCTCACAGAGACATAGTGAATTTAATATGCTCATTGTATTTGTATTGATCAGGAAAACCTCAGGGAGGTTAGATAACTTGCCCAAGGTCACTAAGATTCAGGCTAGATTTGGATCATTTCAAATCTCTGCCTCTTTTACCCAGATGAAGTACCTTTTGAAGCCCTGAGCTCCTGATGGGGTAGGGAAGGTCAGATCTGGGTCACTTGCTGGGAGAAATGGGAAGGCTGAGGTAGGATCCCAGCCTGAGAACAAGTGGAGTGGGAGACCTGGGAGAGGGGAGGTTGGTTGGCGCCGACCAGGGACAGGCGATGGGTGAGGAATCTTGAATTGTGGGAGAGATGATGGTATAGAGGGCCTAAGCCTATCCAAAGACGCTTGTAGAAGAATCAGCTGAAGGTTGGTGCAATGAGGAGAGCTAAGTCCGGGTACCTGCAGTAGCTTGGGGTTTCTACCGGCCCAGCAGAGCCTGGGAGCTGGGAAGGACGGGAAAGAAGGCTTTTCCCAAGGCCGCACCAGCACAGGTGCGCCGGGCGGCTTGGCCTGGCCCAGCACGGCCGCGCTCCTCCTTCACCCGCCGGCCTCCCGGAGGCCTGGCCTCCCCAGTCCGGGTGGCTCGTCCTCCTCCAAAGAGCCCGCGACCTCTCACCTGCCGGGTGGCCGCAGCGCCTCCCCTCCTCCTCCATCTCGCAGCCGGGACCCCAGCTCTGCCCGGCACCCTGGATGATGCAGGGCTGGAGGAATCATCGCCATCGCCGCCGCCTCCGCGCATCCTGGGAGCCTCGGCGAGACGGGGGCGCGGAGGCGCAGTCACGGAGACGTGGAGGGCGCCACCCCCTCGGTCCGACACTCAGGCCGAGCCCCGCCTGTCCCCCGCGCGGGTCTCCTTGTGCCCCGAGGCCGCCCGCTCCCGCCGCCCAGCTCTGAGCCAGAATCCCTTTTCTGCTCGTCGTTTTGCCGTGGGGGGAGCCTGGATTCCGCCATAGGCAGAGGCTGAAGTAGAGCGCAGGAAAGGGGCAAGCGAAGTGGGAAGAAAGGAGGGGGAGAGCAGGGGGGTCGCCTTAGAGGACAGACTGGAGTGCAGCAGGGTTCCAGGGATTCCTACCGTGCCCGCCCGCCCACCTCCCCAAGTCCCTGTGCGTTCAAGCCAGCCTGCTTAGCTTCTCCATATGCTGCAGTATTTTTTCTTCCTAGACAAGATCGGCGGAGGCGTCCAATTTGAAACTTTGAGGCATAGAATTTATTTATTTGGTACAGGGAATGGAACTCAAGGCCACTTGACCACCGTTTTATTTTTTGAGACAGGATCTCGCTAAATTGCTGAGACTGGCCTCGAACCTGCGATCCTCTTGCCTCAGCCTCCCGAGTCGCTTGGATTACAGGTGTGCCACTATGCCTGGCTGGCGGCATAGAATTTATAGTCATTATAACAGAATTTAAATCAAACCAACTCTAACTTGCCTAAGTCTCTCAAGATATCAATGAATTTACTGAAGAAACTTAACAAGGGGAAGAAGAAGAAGAACGAGGGGGGGGGGGGGAACCATGGAAATAAATAAGAAATCATGGGATATTTATTAATACTATCATAAAATGTAAAAAAAAAAAAATCTTTAAAAGCAACAATGCAATGTATCCAGCTAGGCTTATTTTGGTAAGAACAAAAAACTGCCATCTGGTAAGTCTACACAACTTGCAAAATAATTCATAATGAGTTTACTATTTCTCTAAACTCCTCAGGGATACCATTTGCCCTTTCCTTCACCTGGAACCAGAAAACAGGAACGTTTATTGCATTCAGGCAAAATACTTAGTTGGAATGTTGCTAGCGCAATCTCCATTTTGGGCTAACAGTTTTTCTAAGGATCATAACCAACAAATACCAAAGAATTTGATTTATGAAAATTTCTTTCCCAATTCCCTGTACTATTTTGTTAAGAACACACTAGAGGGCTGAATAATGTATAAAGTAGGTTATTTTGTCCAGTGGTTGACTATGCAATCAGAATTGTTTATAAATAACTTTAAGAAAATGTTCCAAATGATTTGTACATAGACCACACTTCAGCCAGGTATGGTGGCACACACCTGTAATCTCAGCTGCTCAGGAGGAGGATCCCAAATTCAAAGCCAGCCTCAGCAATTTAGCATGACCCAGTTTCAAAATAACAAGCACTGGGTTTGTAGCTCAGTGGTAAAGTGCCCTGGATTTCAATCCCTAGTACCCCCAAAATAAAAAATAAATTTAAAAGCTTCATTCTCCCAAACACTTGCAATGTAATCGTTCTTTTGGTACAAGGGAGTGAACCCAGGTGTGCTGAAACACTGAGCTCCAGCCCTTTTTATATTTTGAGACAAAGTCTGGCAAAATTACTTATGGCCTGGCCTAGTTGCTGAGACTGACTTTGAACTTGTGATGTTCCTGCCTCAACCTCCCAGCTGCTGGGATTACAAGCATGTACCACTATGCTTGATACAATGTAACAGCCTAACATGTTGTTGGTATTGGTGACTTTGAGCCCTAGGAAAAAATCAAAAAGACCCATTAGCTGGCTGGGGTTGTGGCTCAGAGGTAGAGCACTCACCTAGCGCATTCAAGGGCCTGGGTTCTATCCTCAGCACCAAATAAATAAACAAACAAACAAATAAAGGTATCAACAACTACAACTAAAAAATAATTAAAAAAAAAAAAAAGACCCATTAGCTTCTAGAGTGGAGCTGGCATTTAGAGAAGATATTCTGATCAAAGTTACATGCCTCTTAATGAATTAAAAATCTTGCCAGCTCATTTCTAGACATTTGGCCATATGAGAGGAGGAGGTTACAATTGGTTCAGGTTGGATTGCTGCCATGGGTTACACCTATGGGAGAAAGGATCTCAATGGGGTGTGTGTGGGGGGGGTGTTTCACATCTTATGAAACATTCTAAAGATGTAAAAGAGGAAATTAAGACCCACCAAAGTTCCAGAACTGGTAAGGACCATTCATCAAGGCTAAACCTAATATAAGAATACATACAAAATCTGTAAGTGAAGTGTGCTAAGCCTGGAGAGAACACTGTCTTAGTAGTCAAAAAATGGGAAACCTACAAATAATGATGTTAGAACACAAATGGGCTACCAATCTGCAGTGACACCAGCCTTCCAATACAAACTATAATTACAATGCAAATTGATACATGTCCACTTGAAGAAAACACATAAAAGCCATTAAATGTTTAGATTTTGACCTAAAAATCTGACTCCTTGGAATTGCTCCAACAAAAGGTTTAAGGCATAGAGGTATGGAAATGAGCATCACAATGCAATTGGAACAGAAAACAACCTTGATGTTCAATAGGGGAATACTCAGAAGCAATCATGATATATTAAGACAAAAGTCCATAAAAGCACTTATAAATATGGCTACGTAGAAGAAAAAATATTTCCAATAAAACAAAATTCTCATTAGTCTCTGACCACACTAATCACCCAAGTTGCCAGATGTGGTAGAGCACGCCTGTAACCCAGGCGATTTAGGAGACTGAGGCAGGAGGACCACAGGTTTGAGGCCAGCCTCAGCTTAGCAACTTAGTGACAGACCCTGTTATCAAAATAAAAAGGACTGGGGATGTAGGTCAGTGATTAACAATCTTTGGGTTCATTCCCTGGTACAACACCACCAACAACATTAAAGAGCTTGGCAATGCTGAGTATTTCGTATATTCGAAAACATTTTTCTCATGTACTGTACACAGTGGCACCTAAATTATCAGTCATTTGCATTAAAAGAACAGGTGAGGGACTGGGTTGTAGCTCAGTGGTAGATGCTTGCCTTGCACATGTGTGAGGCCCTAGGTTCAATCCTCAGCACCACATACAAATAAACAAATAAAATTACTATGTCCATCTACAACTAAAAATATTTAAACAATAACAAAAAAGAATAGGTGGTAGGCTGGAGATATAGCTCATATGAGTGCTTGCCTTGCATGCACAAGGCCCTGGGTTCCCCAGCACCACCACCAAAATAAATAAATAACTGGTGAGTAGCTAGTAGTAGTGGCACCCACCTGTAATCCCAGTGGCTAGGGAGGCTTAGGCAGGATTGTGAGTTCAAAACCAGCCTTCCCAACAGTGAGACACTAAGCAACTCAGTGAAAACTTGTCTCTACATAAAATACAAAATAGGGCTGGGGATGTGGCTTAGTGGTTGAGTGCTTCTGAGCTCAATCCCCAATACTAAAAAGTCAGGTGAGTAAAATTCCCTCCTAAATTCTGAAACACAATTTGTTTTGCATAGGATCTATTCAAAACCTAAGATTAAGAGGCTGGGGATGTGGCTCAAGTGGTAGCAGGCTCGCCTGGCATGTGTGCGGCCTAGGTTCGATCCTCAGCACCACATACGAAGACGTTCTGTCTGCTGAGAACTAAAAAAAATATTTTAAAAATTCTCTCCTTAAAAAAAAAAAAAAAAAAACCCTAAGATTCAAATTTTACAACCTCGGGCTGGGGATGTGGCTCAAACGCTCGCCTGGCATGTGTGCGGCCCAGGTTCGATCCTCAGCACCACATACAAACAAAGATATTGTGTCCACCGAAAACTAAAAAATAAATATTAAAACATTCTCTCTAAAAAAAAAAAATTTACAACCTCTAAGAGGTTTTCTCCTTTCCTTCTCATGAAGCTTATAGAAACCTACACTCTTTTCCATGCCTGCTTCCAGTCCCATTTTAAGAACTACTTTAGACAACATCAGCCATCCAATTCTTCCCTTCCCCCTTTCATTCCTGAGGCCACTGATAGAAAATTTGCATTATAATACAGGGGAAAATATCAAGATAATAAGCAGCATCCAAACCTGGCATCAGAGTCACCTGGGGAGCATATTACTCAGGCTAAGGTACCCTGTTTTAAGTCTACAGTGAGACTTAAAGTTTTTTATCAATTGTCTCAATCCCGGCTGCACAACTGAATCATCAGAGCTTTAAAAAGATGATGCCTGAGCCCCCTCCAGAGGGATTTTAGTTGAGAAACATACTAGGGCATCCAGTATCTTTTTTTAAAATTAGTTTCCACTTAGGAACCACTGTTGAAGTATAATTTCATATAGTTTTAAGTTAAAAAAGCTAAACTGGTCAAAATATAATGTAAGGTCTTACAGACATTGATACCATGAAGTGGGAACAATAAGAATTTACATTTTAACAAAATTCCCTCATGATTCTTAGGCAGGCATATTGATTTGAGAAAAAAATCTTCTAGGTTAGTGCTATTCAACAGAAATTTTAGTGATGATGGAAAAGTTCATCTGTGCTACTCAATGTGGTAACAACCACTAGCCATGTAGCTAAAAAGTGCTTAAAATGTCCCTAGTTCAAACTGAGAAAATGAATTTTTCATTTGATTAAATGTAAAGACACATGTGGCTACAAGCTACTGGACTATACAGGGCATAATTTGAATTCATTTTGGTCAGAGGGAATGAATTCTAGATCCAAATCTGGGACGGCAATAGGAATCCACAAGAGCCACTGCCTACAGAACTGTCTTCTCCTGTTAATGAAGACAAAAGCCAGGTGTTAAAAACAATACATTTATTGGGTTTTAACTAGTTACACAATTGAAATAATCAGTTTGGCACTACTCTATACAGGGATTACGCCTGTGTATGCTGACACTTAAATACTGTACCAGGACCACTGCTGTGCTTAGATTGAGTCATTCAGCAGGTAGATACTAAAAAATTTTGTGGTGTTCCTTTAAGGAAGACTGTACAGGGTGTGTTATGACATTCACCAACTTGTGAATTATTTCAATCTAGAAGATATCTTG